ACCATAAAGCTACAGTAAGCAAAACAGTATATTACCGGGACTTCCCTGGTGGTCCAGTGGCTAAGACTCCATGCTCCCAGTGCAGGGGGCCTGGGTTCGATCCCCGGTCAGGGAACAAGATCCCACATGCTGCAACTAAGAGTTCACATGCCACAACTAAAAGATCCCTCATGCCGCATCTAAAAAGATCCCGCATGCCGCAACTAAGACCCGGCGCAGCCAAATAAATAAATAAATATTTAAAAAAAAAACACAACAGTATGTTACTGGCACAAAGACACACTTATAGATCAATGGAACAGGATGGAAAGCCCAGAAATAAACCCATGCAGCTAGTCAATTAATCTACAACAAAGGAGGCAAGAATACATAATGGGGAAAAGACAGTCTCTTCAATAAGTGGTGCTGGGCTTCCCTGGTGGTGCAGTGGTTTAGAATCCTCCTGCCAATGCGGGGACAGGGGTTCAAGCCCTGGTCTAGGGAGATCCCACATGCCGCAGAGCAACTAAGCTGCCCATGTGCCACAACTACTGAGCTTGCGCTCTAGAGCCCATATGATCCAGAAATCCCACTCGTGGGCATATAACCAGAGAAAACCATACTTTGAAAAGATACATGCACCCCAGTGTTAACTGCAGCACTATTTACAACAGCCAAGACATGGAAGCAACCTAAATGTCCATCAACAGAGGAATGGATTAAGAAGATGTGGTACATATATACAATGGAATATTACTGAGCCATAAAAAAGAATGAAATAATGCCATTTGCAGCAACATGGATGGACCTAGAGATTATCATACTAAATGAAGTAAGTCAGAGAAAGGCAAGTATTATATGATATCACTTATATGTGGAATATTAAAAAATGATACAAATGAACTTATTTACAAAACAGAAACAGACTCACTTATTTACAAAACAGAAACAGACTCTGAAATCAAACTTATGGTTACCAAACTTATGGTTATATATACCCTACTATATATAAAACAGATAATCAACAAGGACCTACCGTATAGCACAGGGAACTCAATATTCTGTAATAATCTATATGAGAAAAGAATCTGAGAAAGAATGGATACATAGGACTTCCCTGGTGGAGCAGTGGTTAAGGATCCACCTGCCAATGCAGGGGACACAGGTTCGAGTCCTGGTCCAGGAAGATCCCACATGTCGCAGAGCAACTAAGCCCATGCGCCACAACTACTGAACCTGCGCTCTAGAGCCTGTGAGCCACAACTACTGAGTCCACGTGCCACAACTAGTGAAGCTCGCGTGCCTAGAGCCCGCGCTCCGCAACAAGAGAAGCCACCGCAATGAGAAGCACGCGCACCGCAACAGAGCAGCCCCCGCTCGCCGCAACCAGAGAAAGCCTGCGCACAGCAACAAAGACCCAACACAGCCAAAAATAAATAAATAAGATAAATAAATTTATTTTAAAAAATAGAAGGGATATTTGTATATGTATAACTGAGTCATTTTGCTATACACCTGAAACGAACACAAACTGTAAATCAACTATACTCTAATATAGAGTAAAACTTTTAAAGTCTATGAATAAACAAATCTGTGGCTCTACCTAAAATAGTAAATAAACCCTTGATATATTACGCTATTAAAACAAAACAAAACACATTTGTTGAGGGACGAATAGATGGTTGCATGGTGAGGGAAGCCTTTCTGGAAGGCAGGGACCCGAAGCCACAGGTGGAAGAGGAATCACGCCAACTGGGCAAAGGCCTCTTTGGTTTATAACCCCTTTCACAGCTGCCTTAAGAACCACATGAAAGGGGCTTCCCTGGTGGCGCAGCGGTTAAGAATCCGCCTGCCACTGCAGGGGACACGGGTTCGAGCCCTGGTCTGGGAAGATCCCACATGCCGCGGAGCAACTAAGCCCATGCGCCACAACTACTGAGCCTGCGTTCTAGAGCCCGTGAGCCACAACTACTGAGTCCATGCGTCACAACTACTGAAGCCCACGTGCCTAGAGCCCGTGCTCGGCAACAAGAGAAGCCACGGCAATGAGAAGCCCGCGCACCGCAACGAAGAGTAGCCACTGCTCACCGCAACTAGAGAAAGCCCGTGCGCAGCAACGAAGACCCAACTCAGCCAAAAATAAATAAATTAAAATAAATAAATTAAAAAAAAAAAAAGAAACACATGAAGAAAGCAAGGGAACAGCTAGCTTCTGGTCTAAAGCTCCCCATTTTCTAGATGAAGAAACTGAGGTCCAAGAGGTTAAGAGACTTGGCCCAGGTCACCTGAGGGATGGGTAACTCTCCCCAGCACACCCCAGACCTCTGGTCCTGCAGGCAACGGCAGCAGGTGACACCCCACCCAGGTCAGTAGCCACCATGACCACCTCCCCCAGAGCTTCAGTGCCAGGAGAATCCCACCTTCTCCCAGACTCACGACTTTCCCTTGCCCCAGGCCAGCACTTGCCCCTCCTCCATCGTTGCCCTCTGACAGTGCCCCAGCACTCAGTATGGTGAGACAGAGATTCCTCCGGAAACCCCAAAGGGTGAGCTCATGATTCTTCTAGGCTCCATCAACCAACATCACAGACCCATTCAACAGGAGGCTTACAAGGAGGGGTGGACTCAGCCATTAAGCCAGTAAG